ACACTTATTCAGAAAACTAAAAATATGCACAGGTTTGTAAATAAACTGTTAATGTACATCAACAAAACAAAACCAGCATTCTTTTCTATAAGATTCTGTGGATTTGGGCATCTACTTCTTTCAGGAAATTATCACAATCAAATAAAGTATCAAATTGTGGGATGTTTGAAGAATCTTTTATTTAACAGAAAGAGTCTGCTTAAGCACACTTTCATTTGATCTTATTTTCACTGATTGCACACTAAGATTTTTTTTTAAAATGTGTTTATTTCCTTTAGTTAATTTTCCTGTTCTAGGTTCATTTACTTGTTATGCTTTCCCTCTCTCTGCCGCCTCCCTGTCTCCCTTTGAACTTAATGGTCTCAAAATAATAAATGGTATTTCATAGATTAAGATATGTTGAACAAGATGTTTTCCTTGTGACTGTTCCCTTTATTGGACATTTTCTAAATCCGCTTGCAATTAAGTCATATTGTTCTTTAGTGTATATTAAATTGACTAACATGTTACAATCCCAAACTGACAATCCTGTTTATGGGTGTGCATCTGTGTGTTTTGTGTGTGAGTGGGTGTGAATGACTATATTAAGAAATACATGCTATCTAACTAAAATTTTGATAAAGAGGCAAATCACGATCATACTTACAATAATGACTGCATGAACAGGATTCAGTCAATGGAAGGAACCTCAAGATCATTACAAAGGATTTGAAACCTTTAGAGGGTTCAGAGTCATTTTCAAGGGGTGGATTGAATGTCTCTTCAACAACAGATAAATGAAGAGTGAGAACATTTTACTCAAAAGGAGTGTTTGAGGGATGTGGAAATGTGGAACTTAACCAGCTTTGGTTAAATATATATTTATAGATTTTAAATACACTGTTGCTGCCTAAAGCCATCCAAGCTTTAAAAACAAGTTTTCTATGACCTGGTTTTACAATTCAATTTGGCTGTTGCTTTGAAAAGACTTGCAGGCTGGGCCCCCACCTTCAACCTCCCCCCCCCCCAATCTTCAAGGGTGAGAAGTTTTAATATCTTAGGCCAAGGAAGTCTTAAACCACATAATTCTATTTGTCTCAAGCCCTCCTTCACACACACACACCCCCCCCCCCCCCCCCAATCTTCAAGGGTGAGAAGTTTTAATATCTTAGGCCAAGGAAGTCT